ATCTCTAAATTCAGACAATTTTATCTTTAAAAATGTTTTACTATGTAGCGTCCTTTAATTTGGAGTAAGAGAAACTGGGGGAGTGGCTTTATTGCGTCAGACATGTGTCAATTTGCTTGAAGCTGATTGGTCAAATTTGGGTTTGAGATCTCTAAACCAGAACATAACCTGCCCCAGAGCAGGTTAGCTGTGGAGCGTAAGTTACTAAGGCAATGAAAGCCAAGCCACTTTCATGGTACCTAAAACCCAGGATTGGTGCAAACTAAACCGAAACTTACCTGGCTAGCCAGCTAATCCAGCTTCATGGTACAGGCCCCTGGTCTGACTGACATAGCAACAGTAGTTCAACCAATGGTGTGAGTCTGGGGCGGAGCTATCTGTTGCTCTGTCCAATGGCAGATGGAGGGAATTTTGATTCAAGTGCCACAGAAATGATAAACTCCACCTTCAAAAGGACAGTTCAGCCAAAATGAAAACTCATGATTTACATAATTTGCTCAACTTCTTATTCATAATTTTAAACCTGTATTACTTAATTTATTCTGTGTAACCCAAAATCAGCTACTTTGAAGGAAAATAGGTATCAGTATATGTTTTCCCAAAAAATGAAAGTCAGGATTCAGTGTGATGTTATTTTAGTGTGTCTGTGTATATATCAATGTGTATATATAAATGTATATTTTATTTTAGTTTCAGTTTTCCTTTTAATTTTAGTTCAGTTTTAGCATTTTATTTAATTTATTTAAAATGTTTTTTTTATTAGTATTTATTAGTTTTTTAATCTATTTAGCTTTAGTTTACTTTTATAATTGTAGTAATTTTTGCACTTAAACATAAAAATGACAGTTAGAAAAAGAATGTTGCTCTGACAACTAACTGAAATAAAATTGCTTAAAATTAAAGGTTTTCATCTAATATTTATATATTATTTTCAGCTAAATTTTTAATTCACAAAAAATATTTGCAATTGTTTACAATAACAACACTGTTCCAATGTTGTTCAAAACATTCATCAAAATTTGACAAATGACAAAAAAGTCATACAGGTTTGGAACAACAATGACAGATTTTCATTTTTGGGTAAATGATAGGCCTACCTTTTAAGTTCAGGACCTGTTATAACATTCAGTATCTGCACTTATATTTTAGGATTGATGATTGATTGATAGGACTGTCCTAGGACAATGTTGAATTCCTTTTCATTTTTATGTCATTAAATTAAAAATAAAACGCCAATTCTGCATCCAGCTCAATTAAAATGAAAGACATTCAATTCTGAATTCTGTCAAATCCATTTCAAATTCATAAACAGGAATTTCTCCTTTCAATTCTGAAACAGCGAGAACAAAAAGACACATGCATCTATACAAAGGATGACTATACTCTGCTGCTTTGGACAAAACATGCCTGCTAAATGTCTAGTCGCAAATATTTGAAGGTTTTCCCAAAAGGAAATCAAACTGCACAACATTGATCTACTGTTTTCTAATAAACTAGTCTGTCTGAATACAGTACAACACATGAACAGCAGGAGAAAGTCACACACACCGCTTCAGTTTCTCCAATCATGTAACAAGATCATTCAGACTGATGAGACATCTCAGAGAGACAGATTGTACCGTTTTAAATAACTCATAACGGCAAACCAAACATGAATGGGCGCGTGGTTGTTCCCAAAGGAAAAACAAGTGTTTGTTTTCTCTTTCCATAAAACTGCTATTTTATCTGGAGCAGCAAATTGTATATTGCCGTCATTTTTCATGATTATTGTTGCTTATGCACCATTTAGATAGAGATTGCATTGCCGTACTATTGAGAACGGCCTCCTAAACACTACGGTAATGATGCAGTGGGGTTTCAAATGATGGAGAGGGTCACTTTGCCACGCTGCAAGGCTCCACTGCATGCCAATCAGGCAGAAAGACGAAAATTAATAGCATCTGGTTACTGCTTGTTTATTCAAGAGTATAATTAACTGCCAGCTATTACTGTTCTGGAGACAGTTTCGTTTCTAACTCGTGATAAGGGGCACATTTCAAATGCAAGAAAGTGTAGATCGTGTCAAAGGCTGATTTGCATAGAATACATTATGAATTTTCCATAATGACGCTGAGTTGACTTTTATGTTTGGCCTTTGAGGGGGAAAAACACACAAGCATTTTTAACACAAGTACAAATGTTCTTTTTGTGTAATTAGCTGCTTTGAAGGATAAAGTAGTGTCAAACTGTGTCTACACAATACACAAATTAATTATCACTGCCGTATTTGACGTTATTTTTTGATAAGAAGTACAAAAGGCTGTACAAACATTCAGTAGTTAAACAGTGGAATTACAATAAAGCTAGTTAGGAAAATACAGCAGAGTCCAGCAGTTTCATGATTTCAATGCACTTTCAGTCACGATCAACAACAGGGTGCTACACACTTGGTGAACAATGTGTTCTGATACAGATGCAAATACTACTGAT